AAAATATTAAAAAAATATAAATTAAAAGAGAAATCACGTAGGAGTGTTTTTAATCTTATGGTAAATATAGCATTCCATGTGAATCCCAGGTTCCGCTGTTCTATTCTACTTTTAGAAGGCTTCTACTTCTAGAAGGTCACCCCAAAAACCAACATTTAATCTTTCACCTTATAAACTTGGGAAGTTTTAACTTCTCACCTTATATCATGACAGTTTTAGCTCTTTATCTTATAAAGTTGGTAAGTTTTAATTCATTTTCTAGGTTTTAATCCCTTACCTTATATTATGATATTTTTAATCTCTCACTGATACAAATTAAAGAAAATAACCCTCACTTAATATCATGTTATAATATTCTGTTAGTTCTATTAATTGACTGTTAACATCCGTTAGTATTTCGTTAAAAAAAACATGAAATTTAAATTCAATTTTATTTGTTAGTTTCATTAATGGAATACTAACGTATGCTAATAGTCAACTAACAAAATTAACCGTCAGCTAATAAAATTGATAATCGACTAACAGAACTAATAGAATATTATAACCTGATGTTAAATAAGGGTTATTTTCTTCAATTCGTAGAGATAAATGGCTAAAAGTGTTATAATATAAGATGTGGGATTAAAACCTATCAATTTTGTAAGGTGAGGGGTTAAATTTATCAACTTTGTAAGATAAAGATTAAAAATGTCATATTATAAAGTTAAGAGTTAAAACTTACTAATTTTGTAAAGTGAGGGACTAAAAGTTGGTTTTAGCCGAGTTCTGGAAGTGGAACTTGCAAATTCCCTTTATTTTGGTTTCGATCCGTTTCTTCTGTCTTGCCCTAACGCCAGTTGCAGTCCGCGACCAATGGCGACGGACCCTGTCACTGTCCCCGTTCCTCGGAGAAGTAAAGATTACGGGAAACTAGAATATGGGTATCGTCTGCAATATCGACTGTTCACCTCTTGATTCGTCGAATCAATTTCTGTTTCTGTTATTGTGCCAAAGGGTATTTGTGAATTCAATAATTTTGTTCTGGGTTTTCAGCTGCGACCATTACAGGAGGCGATGCAAAATCCGTGCTCCTTGTTGCGACAAGATTTTCCCATGCCGCCATTGTCACAACGAAGCTGCAGTAACCTTCTCTTTATATGCATCCCCAATTATATATTGATCTCTCTTTCTCTCTCTTTTTCTGAATTGAGTTTTGTTGTTCTCTGTTTTCTGATTTAGAACTCGTCAAGCAACCCTAAAGATCATCACGAGCTTGTCAGGCAAGATGTGAATCAAGTATGTTCATATGTTATATTGTTCTTCTTCCTCTAACAAGCACTTTTTTCCATCAAAGAACGTTTTTCTTTCTTTTTAATCGTCATTGATCTATAATGGGATTGGCATTGATGTGTCAGGTTATTTGTTTGGTTTGCGATACAGAGCAGGAGGTGAGGCTTACTGGGTCAGATTCAGGCATAAATAGCTATCCTTTTTATGGTTTTTAATTGTCGAGTCCTTGTATCTGACGTTTCAGGTTGCTCAAGTCTGTTCTAACTGTGGGGTAAACATGGGTGAATACTTTTGTGGAATTTGCAAATTTTATGATGATGATGTGAGTTAAATTGCTTCAAGTTGATGTGTTAATTAGATAAGCTGGTTTGAAGTATATCCACTTTGTATTATATGATCTTGCAGTTTTAATAATAATTTATAATGATTGTGGTGAATTCAGATCACAAAGAAGCAATTTCACTGCCATGACTGTGGAATTTGCAGGTTACTTATCAGTTCCATTGATGGATTATTGCATTTTCAGCCTAATTCACACTTTTTGGGCTATTAGTCTGATCTGAATTGTGGTTTCTAGAGTTGGCGGTCGTGATAAGTTCTTCCACTGTCAGAGGTGTGGTATGTAGTCTTATCCCTTGCCTATCTTTTGATTTGGTGATTTTATTACTGTTTTTCAATTGCAAGAAGCTTGAAATTCTATAATGTGTTTGTTGGCAAACTTCTCAGTCTTTTCCTTTGATGTTGTAAAAGTTCTGAGCTAATTAACCTTTTAAAGTCAAAGTAACTAAAGGTAGGGGAGTTCCTTTTCAGCCATTGCTTGTTCATTTTATGATGTTTTGTTGGTGGAGTACAGGATCTTGCTATATGATAGAACTACGCAACAATCACATATGTGTGGAGGACTCAATGAAGACTTTTTGCCCTATCTGTTATGAGGTTTGAGCCTTAACCAAGGACTCCAATGGTTTCTGATTGTTTTGAAATTTCATAAGAATTTTATGTTCTAATAAAATTATGCTATGTTGATAGTATCTTTTTGACTCGATCGAAGGCACAAGGATATTAAAATGTGGGCATACAATACATTTTCATTGTTTGACTGAGATGACTACAAAAAATCAGTAAGTTCACATCTTTTTAGTTGCATTTTTCTATTGTTCTGGATGTTTTTGAAAGTTAAATATTTTTTTGGTAATTCAGGTACCGCTGTCCCATCTGCTTGAAGGCAGTGCTCGATATGACTTCATTCTGGCGAGAAATGGATATGGAGGTGGGTCTTCCATTATCATTAAAGTGAATGCAAATTCCTATAAATGGTCAATATTTGCTTGTTATGATGCCTGGGTACCTATTTGATTTTTCTGTGGGATATTAATTTGGTCGCCTTTTCTCCAATTTATTAAACTTGAGTATCTGCCATGAGATTTAAGATATTGGAAGAAGTTAGTGGTCACTGCGCCATAAATTCTGTGTTGAGCTCAAGTACCCTTCCTAAGGACTTTAATAGTTGCGTGTTTCTGAACTTCTGCAACCTGTTTTATGATTGTCCTTTTGCCTCCACCTCTCTATGATATTGTTATTCAGAATTAATGCAATTTTGTTTATCCTTGATTCACAGATCCAAGTTACCACAATGCCTGAGGAATACCAGTTTGAGGTGGTAGTTTAATCCTCTTTCTCTTTCGATATCAGCTTATCTCTGCAAGCAAGTTGTACAACAAGAGTTTGCTAAGTATTCTGTGGGTGTTTTACAGGTCTCGATCCTCTGCAATGACTGCAACACTACTAGCAACACACAATTTCACATTTTAGGTCACAAGTGCAAACAATGCAATTCTTACAACACCCGCCGGATTGCAACTCGAGGTAGACCTAACAATACACAAACAAGTTAGACTTGATTGGTAATGCACATTGGACTTCCAATCATGCAGTACTTAGTTTTACCCAAAATTAATGTTCGTATATTCAGAATCTGTTATGGAAACATTCCCCTCCTTTTTTTACTCTTTATTTCTTGTACCAGTTCCTCCAGTTTCATCGTGACTTACATTGAATTTGATTCTACCCTTTATTGCATCTTTTTTAGCATGTTGGTTTGGAGTCATGAGTAGTTCTAGGAAAAAAAAGGGGGCAAAATTCAGAGGCTAATTTTATAGGTTAGGGATGGAGAGGAAATAAGTTTTGATCAGTTTCATTTAGAATTAGGCAATGAGGTAGCAATAGTCAGTATATTCTTTTGGTAATGATATATTTTATTGATCTCCTAATTTAGAAGAAAATGATTCATTTTAGGGAAAAGTGCCCATTCGTATTATTTCTTATTGAAGAAAACTAAAATATCACATTTTTAAAACATGAATTAGATTGTTTTTTGTTTTTTTGTTTTTTGTGATGTTTTATTAAAATGACGTAATTTTAAGAGATAAGGCGTATAAGCACTAACCTCTTCAGTTTATTCTGTCCCTTGTTTGTCAATTAAATCTATTTCAGAAGCTTTGTTTAACAATTCAATTTCTGGACGAACTTTTTCATTTTTGTGTAGATCAAAATCTTGTCTGATCTGATCCAAAGCCATGAAGTATCAACTTTTTAAAATAAAAATGTCACGTTAAACCTTGTAGTTGGTGTTGGTCAAAAAAATAAAAGAAATTTAGTTAGGATGTCTCATTTTCTCCAAAAAAGTTAGCTCTTGGAGTATTGTGGAGATGCATTACGAGATCTAAGATTTATTTTAAAATTGCCTGCTTCTATGGGATGACATATTTTATCTTTCTCTTTAATTTGTTTGGTAGGTGAGTTATATAATGGGATTATTTTAACTTTCTTCCTTTTCAACATTTTCTCCACTTGTTTCAAAGTTTAAACTTGAAAATGCTAACTTTTAAGTTTCAAGTTTTTATCTGTTGTAAGTCAATGAGATCATTATGTGCCATTACTTGAATTGAAGATCTCAAACTTAAAATTACTGAAAATTAGCAGATCATCAAAACATTTCTTTGTCAATTTAGGTTATTGATAGGGCTATAAATGGGTTAAGTTCAAGTTTTTATTGAGTTCAAATATATTGAGCTTGAAATGGAACTCGATTCAAGAGTCCAACTTATGAACTTGAACGCAACTTGATTTATTACTTGAATTTAATTTAAAATAAAATTAAAATTTTAATGCTATATATATATATATGCACATATGTATAATTATTTTTTAATACACTCAAGTTGAACCAAGCCGGGTTCTGAGTTTGACTCATTTGATTCAACTCGATTTTTCAAGCTGAAACTAATATTCGAGTTGATTAGCTTAGAATTTGCTCAACTCATTTACCACCCTAGCTATAGATGAGGTTAAGTTACATTAGATAAGCAATAAAATTTTAAGAAAATGAATGATTAAACAAAGAAAATCTCAATGATGATTCAGTTGGGTAAAGGCACTTTTCAGCAGTTTGCTTTTGCACAGGTCATGTGCTTATCTATGAGTGAAGAAGTGAAAATGTGATGTTCATGATTTTCTCTTTTCACATGTCTCTTTTGAAACGAGTAGCCTGTCCTGCACCTTGATCACTTCATCAAAACAAAAACAAAAACAAAAGCAAAATGCTCAACAATTCTCAAAAGAGTTAATGAATAGGAACTTTATTTCCATCAATATATATATATTTATATGGACATGTTGGTTTGCTGGGAAAAAAGGGTGTTTGGATTTCCCCATGTTTTACATGACAATTTTGAATCAAATAGATAATCTTATCTCAGTGGAAACATGTGGCCTACAAATTATAACATAATCAAAATCCTTCCGTTTGCTTTTGAAGACTTCTGGTGCCAGGGTCGTACACATCCTTCTCGTTCCTCCTCGTATGGAACTTTTGAATGTTTTGTTTGTGACCCACTATGTAGGAAAGACTACAAGACTTTTGAGTGTTCTGTAACCCCACCACCATGTGGGAAGTAGGAACCGGTCTCGTAGTCTAATAATTCATGTCTCACGTCTAAGAACTTCGTGAGCTATATTCATCTCAGGTTATTCTAAATTTCTAATTATACCTACCCCTTCCCTCAAATTTCTTTTTAATTTGGCAGTTGTACAATGGACCAACTGAAGGGTTGTTTGGTACATTAAGAGCCTGTTTGGTATGTGTTCTCTCTCAAAAAAGAATCTGAGGAAGCTGCACAAAATAAAGAGTAAGCTTGGTTTGGGAAACTTTTTTTTTTTTTTTTTGACATGCAAATCTATATACAATATACTTAATTACAAAGGAGAAACAAGTGGTTATATATATATATATATATATATTTCTTTTTAATTTGGCAGTTGTACAATGGACCAACTGAAGGGTTGTTTGGTACATTAAGAGCCTGTTTGGTATGTGTTCTCTCTCAAAAAAGA